TTAGCTTGCTTCAGCGAGCGAGATACTTATCATGCAAGATGGCCCGCGTAGATATATCAGACGTGAATGAAGCATTACAGTTGTAACAACAGCTTACTTTATCTCAGAATATATTTCGTGCGTAAAGAGGTTAAACTACAAATATATAAATAGACTCAAACGCACGGGTAAACTTCTCATGGCACAAATGTTACCTGGTCTTTATTTGTGTGTTTCTACGAAGTTCCAGCTCGATTTGAAGGGCATTGACCGAAAAAGGTGTAGCAGAATCATCAGTTCAGCGATAAAACCCGCTTAGAAAACAACTCCACAGTTCATTCTTTAGCCGAACTCAAATATTCCCGTGTAATCATCTTGCTGGTTGACCTTGATAAAACCAGTGATGCACGTGACTGCCATATGACAATTGCTTATGACGTAAATAAAGCTTGAACCTTCCAACACGTCCGACAAACAGCGAAGCACGAGGCAGAATGCTTTGCGCAACGAAATTGTGACGTCATTCAAAATGGCGTCGAAAAGGTGAACCATGGAACGAAAAAACACGGGTCAGCTCTCGCTTCCGTGCACAGGGAACCTACGCAATAACAGGCAACCCAGAAGATTAGGAAGCGTTCTTCCTTCGTTGAACGCAATAACCTCACCGTAGATCCTCTCATCGCAATAGGTTGCATGACAGCCGAGATAATTGGGAGTGGGTTGCTGGTCATATACATTCCCCAAAAGTAATGATAGCAACATTTCAGGTTAAAACACCGTAGTTTTCAAGTGCATTTTTGTCCTAAGTATTGTCAGGCCGTTTTTTACATGAGGAAACTTTCAAAGTTTGATTTTAAGTGACGCGACACGAAGAAACATCTCTTTTTCAAAAAGGTAGTGTTCCGCGTGTTTTTGCTTTTTGTTCCTTTAATTGCTTTAGGAACAACCTAGGAACGCACAATAAAGGAACTTTATTTGCACAATAGGAACAAAGGTCGGCAAATTTCGGAACAATCTGGTCCGTTAGCAGCAAATTGGAACACAAAGTTCCTTTTCGTTTTAGTCTAAAGGGACAACTGGTTCCTCTTTTATCCTTTCAGGAACAAAAGGTCCTCTTTCAACAGTTTCGATTTCCCTTCATGTTCCTTTCGAAGCGATTGCGTTCCCAATCTAATTTCTCGCTCGACACAGTAAGGAACAAATTGTTCCTATTTACTGGCATATCCACTGCTGTTCCCTTTCGGTTCAAATTGTTCCTATTCATGACCAAGAGGAACGGAATTGTTCCTAATCAAGGTGGTTTTTTGTTCCTCAAGATGAGTGTTCCGCTTATAAATGGGAACAGGTTCCGAATTTGTGACAAAGGAACTAGCGTTCCATTTTGCACAAAGTGTAAAAAGGAATAGGAAACAATAGTTCCTATTTATCATAGGCTATCTGAAATTACTGTCCATCACCTCCACTATACAAATTTATCAAAACATGTATCCGTCAACAATCAAGTTAAGTACGAGACTTGCCCACTGCAGGCTTAATCTCGTTTGGGCTTGCCCGCGTAAGTTCAGGCTTGTGTCTTTGTTCCTTTTGATTAATTGTGTACCAAATACGGACAAGAAAACAATGGGGCAAGAATGAGCTAGTGTGGGCAGAGATGGGCTAACAAATATCTCATTGGCGAATAGGATGATCTCTTGGGGACCCTTTAGCTAGTATAAGTGCATGCATACTTTAGAAAGATATCGATTTCAGGCTAATGCTTAAGATGAACAAACGAGCCAAGGATCTCAACTGGTCAAAGTTAGCAAATGCATCGCCTAAACTGAAGAGACTTCACTTAGAAGAGGATGATTGTAATGGTCTTTTTCACTGCCCAGTGCAAATTTGTAACCACGGTGGATTCACTACGCAAAGAGGCTGTAGAAAACACGTAAAGAACAAACACAGTTGGTACTATTACTTTGACGGGAAGCCAGACAGTGCTCAAATCGATACCCTTAATGTCGATGAAACCAAAAAATGTGAAGCCAGTGATCAGAAGATAATACCGCGTAAAAGCAGGGCAATTGCCTCTTTTGATCCTACAAACAACATTGCCAGGAACTTTTTTTCGTGGCTAACTGGCAGTGGTGGGGGCTGTAAAAGTGATCGACAAGCACAACAGATCGTAAGCAAGTGCTTAAAGTTTTGTTGCGAAGATGAAGAGGAGCTCACATTTGACATTGTGGACTTAAGTTTATGTTCACCAAATCTCCTTTTCAAGTTTGTTGATACGATGCAGGATGATTGGAATCTGGGACATGCGGGACGCATAGGCTACTTGGATGCTATTGCAGAATTGGTGGATTATCGAAAAGTGAATGGAGACTCGGAATCAGTATTGAGAGGGCTGGCTTCAACAGAAATTTCATTGAAAAAAGTGCGCAAAACCGTTTCCATAATGATGCGCTTGCAGTGGACCAGCGAACTGGACATCGATGCCTTAGAAGCCAAGGGGCACTGGGCCACACCAGAAGACTGTTGGAAGTCGTGGGGCGCTACTTGCCGCGCTAGGAGAGCGTACTGAAATCATGCAAGGAGAAACCGGGTGCTGTTTTGCCAATAGATTTATCTTTTGCTACCAAATTTTTGACCGTCTATTTATTTATCAAGGTCAAGGGCTCGCGCCCCGTGACATATCAGTACTTAACGGTGGAGATGGTGAACAAAGCCAAGACTAACGGTGGATTTATAGACCAGAAAATGTTCAAAACAGCTGGAAAATTTGGCTTTGATTCTCTTTACCTGACTGAGACGAGCATGCAAGTGTTGGATGGCTACATCAACCACATTCGCCCTCTGCTCAGACCGACCTGCGACTTTGTATTGGTGACAAGAAATGGAGGGCAACACAATAAGCTGGGAGAGCTAATCAGTAAACTGGTCTTCGATGCAACGGGCAGATACGTTCCCCCGACTCGCTATCGACAGATTGTGGAGACCGCGAGTTGCAGGCAGCTGAGCAGCAGCGCACATAGCACAATCTTCGAGGACGAGAAAAATAGCTCCGTTGATGCAAGGGTTCACTATCAGAAGCAGCGATCGCGAAAGGTGGCGAGCAAAGCACATGAATATTTGGAACAATTGCACGGGAAAAAGGGATCACAGCTAGAAATAGACGTGCGCTCGAGGCTTTCAGGCAATTCTGCATCATCTGAAGATCAAAATGGCAGCAAAACCGATACTTCCTCTAACGAGGAGGGAGAAAAGATCAGAGAAACACAACCCAAGCGTCTTTCAGGTGTCCCGAGACTAAAGCTAGAAAATGCGTTTATAGTGACAGATTTCCCGGCAAGAAGAAAGAGTTTGATGTTCACCCCTGAAGAAGACAATTATCTAAAAGCAGGCATTGAGCGACACGGCTACGGTCAATGGAAAGCGATTCTCAGGGATTGCGAATTTCATTTTCAAGAGGGAAGGACAGCCAACTCACTGCTGAGCCATGCAGCGCGAAGATTCGGATCACTTTCTAAGTTATCCTAGAACTTTACATTTACCCCAGAATAAAAAGATATCCTTGAAATATAAAGAACGACAAAGCCAATCAGCGATATGGTTCAGTACATGGCAAGCAACATTTTATTGTTGTTGGAAGAAGAATTAAATTACTGTTGACTTGAGAAATACATGTTTATTTTGTGGCTTGGGCAATGTTTTTTCGTAACTTGCTGGCTTGAGGAGGAATGCTTGCTCTTACTGGCTTCAGTGGTCATGGTTTGGACTGACATTGCTGTGCTAGGGACAGGAGTCATGAAAAATGTCGCTTCGTCATTGTCACTGTCATCGTCAGATCCAGTAACGTAGTTGAACGTGCACGGCGACTGCGTGTCATATTATTCCAGGTTGTCTTGGGGCACGTAATTTGGCGTTCTGGGTTTTTCTTGCTCTAATACCTCTTCCATTTCTTCTCTCTGGCTCGAGCTCGCGACTGGCAGTGCTTCTAAGAGGGTTTTCACCATGTGTTGGTCTTTCTTTCTCATCAGTCCGAGCGCCACGCATACCTTTTTCCTCTCCGCAAGGGCTTCCTGGCATCCAAGAGTTCCTAAGTTGTTGTGGTGGTCCTTGAGCTTTTCTTCTAGGATTTCACGCAGGGCATCCATTGAGTCTCTCATGTCAGGCGTAATACTTGATTCCAGGGTGACCATGCATTAGTTTAACTCCCTCTCTCCTTGTATTCCTCAACCATGGTGACTGGAATGCTTCCCTTGCCCTCTTCTTCTTCTCTTTTCGATCCGCCCTGGCTGTCATCTGTTCGTGAAGGGCCAGATCATTTCTTAGCGGTGTGGCAAAGGGCTCGTTTGGATCGTGGGGTAGCAAACGTACATTTTCTTCGGAGACACCCTTCGATCTGAGACGCTGTTGATGTCTCTCGTGCTGTTGTATCTCCCGCCGCATCCTCTCTTTGTTTTGCTGTCAACGCTTTTCCAGTAGGAGGCTGAGGTGACGGTTATCCAAAGACCCAAGTAAAGTTTGTGCGAGCGAGTTCTTTAACCCGTGTGTGGTTTCATCGTCATCATCGGCATCCACGATTTGGTCCCTGTTATCGTCTCCTGCAGTGTCCTCTTCGTCTCGGGGATTTGCGCGTAAATCAGCTAAGAGGTTGGTCAACTGCACATTTCTTAAAACCTCTTTCTCAGTCTCCAGCAGTGCGCCTTCGTCGTCGTCATCAGAACTTTCTTCTTCATCTGTATCTACCCTCGCTTTCGATGCAGCCCACACAACACATTCCATAGGATGCTTGCGCGGCCACTGGGCGGCCTTCTTTTTCGGACTTGACAGGCATTTGAAGAAGTAATCCCTTAGCCTTTGGGCCATAGCCTGCTGATCTTCCTCCTTGAACTGAAGTTTGTGTTGTGCAGTCATGAACATGGGACATCGATTGAAAAATGACTTGGCCGTTTTGTACTTGACATCGCAGGCTGTGTATCCCCTTTGAGTGAGTATCTTCCAGTTGTCCACATCGAGAGTCAACAGAGTGGCCTTGTCAATGAATATCACCTCGGTGTTCTTGCCAATCATTGCCTTGTTGAACACTTTTTGCTTGGTTACAGTTGCTTCTTTCCTGTGGTGAATCAGCCCCAGTATTGGGTAAAACAGGCTTGTCTTTCCGCTGTCGGGTTCACCGACAAGGCATGGCACTCTCTCTTTGTGCTTCTTTTGGTTGAAACTCACAAGTCTTAAGAAATCTTCCCAAAACAAACCAATCTCGTTTTCTGTCAGGCTGTTTTCCAAAACGTATTAGAAGTATTTAGGCTGCGGGACTTTGGAAGGATCATAACGCGAGAAAGCCCTGGAAGTCACAAGGCCCATTTTCTCTGCTGGAATTGCGTTGTTCAAGAACCGTCTTTCTGAGACAGACCAACATTTCCCTTTGTTCACCTCTATGAGGTTGTAGTCGACAACAATGGGACGAATTACTTCACAATCAGGGTCAGCCAGGATATCGATAACTTTTTTCATGTCCCTCAGCAGTCTTGTCTTAAATGACTCATTTGCAGCTAGACTGTACACAAACGCCTTCACACTTTTTATAAACAGTGCCCCTGTAAAGGGCGTATTCCAGCCCCCTCATTGCAATTGAGATATCATTTATGAGGACTGTAAGCTTGTCACCTAGTCGGGGTTCCATGCTGTCACTTGTTCTTTCTTCTTGGGATTGTTGGCTGCTACCATCCACTCCATAACGATCAATCACTAACTTCGCTCCCATCATTTTATCTATTACGTTTTCCGTTCCACATTCCTCCACATCCATTGATTCAGAATCGCCCAAAAACCCCTCTGCAACAGTCAGAAAAAACTGCTTGTAGGAAGCTGTTACTAAGTCCTGCATAAACTTGTTGTTGTGATCCTTTAATACTTTGAATAGCTCCTTCATCGCAAGAGATTCTTTGCCTTGTCGACAGGGAACCTTATTTTGAAAAAAAGAAATAGAACGTTTGCTTGAGTGAAGTAAAATAAAAACAAAAACAAAGTTAAGGCTATAAAACGCTTTATTTGCTTTAACAAAATACTCTGACATGATGAGGAGCCAAGCATGAGAAAATAAATTTCATTCAGAATCTTGTGAAAAATTTACCTTGATATATACTGCAAAGACTAACCGTAAAAAGACAGTATGTTAACTATACTGCAGACTGGTAGTAATAGTTTAGACTAGGGCAGGGCTAGACATATTTTGCATCCAGCAGGGATACAATTATACTTAAATAAAATCCTACAAAGAACAATCCTAGAAGTATTCCCTGTAAAACTCCTATAATCACCAACTTGTGAGGAAAACAGAAACCCTTAAAAACGCTTATCAAATGTTGTTTTATCTTAAATGTTTGTACAACAAAACTCTAGGACAAATGCTATAAAAACACTGATTTTGAAATAACATAAAGTTGTTGTTCTCGTTTTTAAAAGATCCGCACGTTTGTAAAAACGATTAATTTATGATGCACGAAGGGAAAACGTACCGTGTTTGTGATTGCATGAACGCCACATTCAAGCAAGGTGCAGTGAACAGTAATGAGATTTGCTGGTGCTCCATTTGGTGTATTCAGCGCAATCCAATAATTTATGGCGGGAAGGAGCGTTTTGTTAACCAAAGCTGGGTGGCTAGAAATCCAGCTTTGGGTCAAAGAACTTGACAGTTGAGTGGTGAAATGCTCGCTATCGCTTTCCTCTCCGTTATCCTCTAGGTTTTTTTTTTGTTTTTCTTCGGCGTTGTTTTTGGTCGTTGTGTGCCGATAGAACTGAAGAAAAAGGCCACACTTTGTACTCCTGCAAAAGATGATATCGAAATCAGGTTTCCTTATTCAACCGATCGATTCGTAATAAGGATTCATAATTGACATTTCAATTCATTTTGAATACAAACCTTGCAACGCCTTGTCGCAAGCGTCTCGCGTCCTACATACCTCATTCCATGCTTTCTGCAGGCCTTCATCCATATTGCATGTATACTTACAAGTCACTACACTACATTTGTCGACAACTATTGGACTTAAATAAAACAAAGCAGCTCCTTTGATTTTCTCGCTATTCAGTTGGCGACAAGGAAAATTTGCTCTTCGCTCGCTCATGGTGAAGCGAAGACTGATGTATCATCAACAACGTAATACGCGTTTATAGGAGTAAGCATGTCACTTCACTGTGAATAATATTAATTATACAATGAAATTTTCCCAGTAGACAAATTCTGACACCCTTATCCATCGCCCAACCTTAGTCACACAGAGTTATTACGTAATCCAAAAATGTGATACTTGACAACTATTACTGAAGACTATTTGACCTAAATTAGCGACATGATCCTGTTTCCGTGAAATCTGTGAAATCCGCAAAATCCTATGGCAGAAAAACCTTTCTGATGAATTCCAGCTACTGAAATCCACATGAACTGCCAGTTTTACCCTATTCAAAGATTGTGTCGAGGAAGGAAACAACCGTTTCTGCGAAATTAACGAAGAACTGCATACTAAATGAGACCTTGCT